AGGCCGAAAGCGAGGGGACTAGAGGCGGGAAGCACAGGGAATGCGGGGGGTAGCAAGGGAGAATGAGGCAGGAAGCAAGGGGGACGCGGCTGTGAAGCAAGGGGGAATGAGGGAGGTAGCAAGGGAGTATGAGGCCCGAAGCAAGGGGGAATGAGGCCTGAAGCAAGGGGAAATGGGGAGGGTATCAAGGGAGAATGAGGAGGGTAGCAGTGAAGAATGGGGTGGGAAGCAAGGGGGAATGGGGTGGGTAGCAAGGGGGGATGAGGCCGGAAGCGAGGGGACATGAGGCAGGAAGCAGAGGTAATGAGGCGGGAAGCAGGAGGGGGTGAGGCGGGTACGTGGGAGGAATAAGTGTGTGAGTGAAGAACATGGAAGCGGGTATCATGGGGGAATGTGGACAAGATCAATACGGAATTGTTTGTTCATCCGTCCTGCCAGCTTGATATGCCAACAAACATGACACAAAGCGCAATGGAGAGGCCTTGAATCAGTCCTGTATGACTTGACAACAAGTGTGGCCAAATGAGAGTGTTGGCCACAACCAGTCCTCCATGTCTAGAGAACACTACCCGTAGGGAATTGTTTGTCACTGGCGTTCCTGCTTGACATGTGTACAAACAATACACAATGGGTCTGTGTGATGCTGCAAAACATACCTGCATGTCGCCACAACTCTAGTGGGTAGAACAGCAGGGGTTTCTCAACTCCGTTCCAGCATGAACCTAGAACATACAACACAGCATGGTCTTGGGTCCCTGCATAAAGGTTGCCCTGTATGGCATGATAGCAGCCATGCCCCATACGGGGAGTTTGTGTCTGGCTCTATTACCGTATTATTGCACCTCAATTGGCATGAGAGGAGACATGCCCATACGCATTGCATAATGACCAGGCAGCAATCAAATAATGCGTACTTACTAATCATTCGATGTATCAGAATGACTGCTCCACCGCAGATCGTTATGTGCATGTTCTGTGAAGGTGGTGTTTGGTTTTACACTGTTATGTTGCATACTTGACACTATGCTAATGGGTTAGGGGGACACCTATTACGAGTGCAATTGAGTGAGCGAACGAGGATTGCACTATCGGGAAAAAGGTACGACTTAGCGAAGGATTGCTATTAACAATGCACTATTTTCCTAAATAAGACAAGTGCATGCAGTTTCCTACTCTATCTAGTCTAGTGCACGGGCTTGTCTATGCAGTACACCTCCTCCACATCCTCATCGTCGGACATGAATGGACTGTCCTCCACTTCCTCCTCCCCCACAATCTCTTGATCGTCGTCAAAGGCCTGTTCCACTTCATCGTCCTCCTCCTCCTCCTCCTCCTCCTCATTCTCCCAGGCATTTCGAGCAGCCACATCTTCACCCTCCTTCTGCTTCCCTTTCCTCTCCCTCTCTGCTACAGCCAGCTTCAAGCTCTTCGCAGGGCGCCTAGTACGCAGGGACCTCCACACCTCCAGTGCCTCCGGCCAGTCGATCTCATACTTGAGGAGCGATATCTGCATCAGCTCCCCCAGAGGCGCGTTGCACAGCGCTCCTCGCGCCCAGGACTTGATGACGTTCTGCCTGGAGAACCCCCTCTCGCACTCCACGGTGGAGAGAGGGAGCACAGCCAGCGCCTGCCACAGCATGATGAGGTTGGGCCATCTCCTGCCAGGCACATGCGACACAACGGAATTAGTTAGCAATCTACAAGATTGTAAAACCCATGGACGCAGAGTAAAGGCTACCTCTTGGATTCTGCGCTCCCAAGGAAGTTGGACAGGCCCTGGGTGAAGCTCTCCATCTCATGGTGTGCCTCCATGATCGCGCTGAAGGTTGGAAGCTCCCTCTCTGCTGCTTTGATGTCGAATCCCGGCAGCTTGTTGCGGAACAACTTGCTGCACCCGTTCAGCCACTCCTTACACTTCTTCTCTTGCTGGGCCTTGATCTTCGGCCACTTGCCCGCCCGGAACAGCTTCGTCGGCCCCAGCTTCCCAAGTTCATCCAGTCGGTTGGTGAGGTTGTCCACGCAGTCACGGGCGAATATGCGGCACAGCTTCACGCAGTCTGCGTAGGTGCTTCCGTGTTTGTGCCCCTTCAGCTTCCGCTCATGCATGGTGTACAGGTGGTTGATAGGGCGCCCAGCACCGTCCACGCCGCGCACCCGGACCTGCTTGCCTCCACCCTCCTTGTGGACTTTGTGGAAGTTCACCAGCCAGCTCTTCCCTCCGAGCTCGTAAGCTTTCTCTGGCGTCAAGTAGCGCTCCACCAGGTCACTCGTTGTGGACTCGATCATCTTCGCAATCTCTGTCACGTCCAGCTGTGGCAGAGCAGGGGTAGACAAAAGGGAGAAGGATGAGAAACAGTGCAGTTACGAACCCCACGTAGCAACATCATACAAACATGCGACCTCACCTCTCGTCTCTGGAAGCAGCGGTTGAGGTCGTTCATGTCCGCCAAGATGTTGGCCAAGAAAAACAAGCAGAACTGAAACTTGTAGCAGGTAACAGTCTCGTACGCCTTGTGATTGTGCTCCCAGAGCAGAACGATGCAAGCGCCGAGGACCTTGCACAGCCTGGCCACCGCATCTCCTCGAGACAGCCACCGCACCGTGTGTATGCCTTGGACTTCCAGGTTGGTCTTGTAAATCACACGCTGCAGGTACTTGAACCGCTGACACCACACGCTGGAGTTTCCGAGCAGAGTTGCCACAGTGCGCACCACCTTGTCGACCATGTCGAGATCCGGGTTTGACTCAGCGGCGTCCTTCACAACCAACGCCTCACTGTGTAAAGCAGAGAACAAATATTATGGTTTGTTAGTAAACCCTTTGAACGAGAGAAAAATGGGACAATGAAGGCACGTAATGGAAATAACACACTAGTGAACAAAGGAACGTTGGCTGCTGGTATGGGGAGGGAAGGGGAGGTTGGAGATGGCGGGAGCACGAAACCACCGTGCCGCGATTCCACGAACTTGATGGCAACATTCCTAGATGAATTCGTCCTTGCATTCAAGGCCGAATTCATTCAAGGACTCCTTGGCTGCCACCGCATGCTGTCTACAGGCCATTCTGGCCAATGGCAGATACATGCTGTGCACTGTGCGGTGCGCGTGGCTGCACCGTCTCATTGAGTTGGCTGCGTTGGCGTGGTTGCCAGCTGTGATGTACAGCACGTAAGTGGTGTCCTTTGTCATTATTACGCATACTCTGCATGGACAGAGTCGGCATGTACACTACCCTGAGCCTAGTTACAAGAATTCAGAGTCCGTTAAGTATCTACTCTGATAGCACCAGAGTTCACAAAATACACAACCAGTGTTTGCAGGGACCACCAAGTCGTAAGCCAGTAATCACCCTGAAATCAGGGTAATTACCCTGATACCGTCAGCCCTGGCCGTGAGGTCGGGGTGCGACGTGCGAAAGTGGCGGGCGGATTGTCGATGCGAGTGGTAACGGTGCTGACTGAGGTGCTACGGTGATGGACGCGTTTAGCAGGGATGCGAAGTAAGGAAAACGAGATTTTGCTTACAACTGCATAACCCCCTAATTCCACTCTTAACATGTAGGTACACCACACTATTGAGGCTTTGCAAACTAATGTGCCATTACGTGCCCCGCCCTGCGCCATTCCACTCGACTCCACGCTATGCCACGTACGCGAACCTCCCTGATTTGCGAACCAGTCGCAACCACACACAAGGAACTTTTGAGTCTGCGTTTTTATCGCAGACGTGCCGCAACGGCTTCGTGTCGACCTGTCGCATCGCTGTACGACTTGCTGCGATCGAGCGTCGCCGTTTCTCCGCAGACCCTATGTGACTCTTGACGTGCCAGCTTGTGTAGGTTTGTGTGGCACGCGAGGCACTTATTTGTAAACAGTACGACAACCCGGGCAGAATAATTATGACCCTCGCGAACCCAGATACAGTAGCGCATTTGACTGTCGGGTTTAACAAAAAAAAGCCCACCCTGCCGCTTGTGGACTGATACTCAATTAAGCACGTTAGGTCCCACGGAATCTTAACACGGCAATGCTGCATTTTTTTCCTTTATACCCCTCAACCCTCAGGCGATTGGTTGAGGGCGGAAATGGGGGACCTGGCAGTCGCAACGTGCACCATAGCAGGAAACACTCAAACCCTCATCACCTCCGTGCTCCCCTTGCATGCCTCCAGATGTGACGATCGCCTGCTCTAGGCCCCAGACTTTGCCTCGTCCCTCACCCTCCTCAACCAATTTCTTATGCTCGTAGACTGCTGTCAGGTTCTAGGCGTTAGCACAACCCGCAACCTCATAGTACTGCGTGAATGGAAAGCTAGACATGGTAACAAGGAAATCAGACAATGAAGGGGCCCGAGGGGGCGATCGTACTGGCTGAATCGACTAAAACCCCCGACGAAACAAACTTTGGCGAGTCAGTAACAGCAGATAAGACGGCCGAGCTCGTAATCGAGTATCGCAAAAATAATGCGTCGACGTCGCGAGATGTTGTTGGGGCCAGACGTGTCTCGTCATCCGGTGACGAATCGAATAGCGACTGCGAGGTGGAGCCATACGCAAACAAGGGCATATCATCCCCTTCGAAACCAAGGGATAAGCGCGTGAAGCGCTTAGATGATCTCGTTCCCAAAGGCGGCCAGAAAGGTATGTGTTTATGGTCGCAGATGCGGAATATTCTACTTGTATGCATGAATTGATGCTTGTAGTCGTGTCTGACCTGTTGGAGGTTATCGTCTCTCCAATTGTGTTTCCACATCAGCGATAGCGGACAAGCGAGACAACCGGGGGGGCCGTAAGCACCGTCCAAGAAAAAGAGGCACTCGTTCACATCGTGAGGAAACGCCTGCGTGTGAAGGCGACGAGGAGGGCAAAGTCGGGGGACCTGACAGCTTAGGTACGCTGTGGGTGTGATATCGACGCTTTATATTTTGCACGTTACTCATAACAATGACGCCGCATGTCATGCTGCAACTCCCTATATATTGTTTATATCTTATGTACCTGTCATGTCCGCCTTCGCAGATGGGACGGCAGGCCAACGCGCTCGTGGTGGCGGAAAGCGCAACGGCGGCAGGGCTGCCGCGGCCAAGGGCGGTCCCTCGGGCAGGCAGTCGCAGGATGCGGATGGAGGCGACGAGGGGGATCATGCCGAGCCGGAAGCTCGTGGTGGCGGAAAGCGCACCGGCGGCAGGGCTGCCGCGACCAAGGGCGGTCCCTCGGACTCGCAGGATGCGGATGGTGGCGACGAGAAGGATCATGCCGAGCCGGAAGCTACTGGTGGCGGCATACGCAACGGCGGCAGGGCTGCCGCGGCTAAGGGCGGTCCCACGGGCAGGCAGTCGGAGGATGCAGATGGTGGCGACGAGTGGGATCATGCCAAGCAGGAAGCTCGTGGTGGCGGCATGCGCAACGGCGGTAGGGCTGCCGCGGCCAAGGCCGGTCCCTCGGGCTCACAGGATGCGGATGGTGGCGACGATAAGGATCATGTCGAGCCGGAAGCTCGTGGTGGCAGCATGCGCAACGGCGGCAGGGCTGCAGCGGCTAAGGGCGGTCCCTCGGGCAGGCAGACGCAGGATGCGGATGGTGGCGACGAGAAGGATCATGCCGTGCCTGCATGCCGTGGCGTTAACGATCATGATGAGGACGAGCCAGCAGCTGTGACTGATGGGAAAGGTGGACGTGAAGCTGTGATTCCCTACCAACGGCGCAAGGCTGTGGATCCGGGCAGTTGCGACCATAAGGCGAGACAAGCTCGGCGCGGCCCCAATGTGCACATTTTGAGCTCGTCTGGTTCCGAGGAAGATTCGAGCGACAGTGAGTCGGGCAGCTCATCCGGGAGTGAGGAGGTATACGAGGACGAGGTTGAGGAGGAGGAGGACGAGGATGATGAGGAGTTGGAGCCGGAGAGCGAGGATGGGGAGGAGGCTCGGCCTTTGCAGAGGAGGAGTGTGAGGAAGCTCAAAAAGGGCAACGCTAAGCAAAAGTCGGAGAGGGGACGGGTAAAGATCTGTAAACAGAGTGTGCGTCGTGCCAAACCACAAGGCAAGCGCCAGAGACCTCGATTCGAAGCTAAAATAGTGGGTGTGCGTAGCAAGGCGAAGCGGGAGTTGAATTTTTACGAATCAATGGGGAGACGATGTCCATCAAGCTCTCATGAACGGCAAGCCGCGGACCCGTACGCTGCGTTACGCGATCCGAGGGGTTCGGCTGGGAAGGGAGATCAGATGGCTTGGGGGTCAGCGCGGTTTGGCAAAGAAGCGACGGACCCGCCCCCCAACCATATGGGGGGTCGCGCGGTTCATGTGAAGAACGAGGGGGCAACGAAGCGGCACGAACCCTCGGTAGCTGCAGCAGCGAATGACGGTCTGGGAGGTGTGTGGGCGAATGCCTTGGGTGAATGTGGCGGCGGTGTGGAAGGCTCCATGTGGGATATACGGGAGAGCAGGGGAGAAGGGGGGGACGAGAAAATGGATCCAGCGACTAAGGAGGGGAGGGGAGAGAGCATGGGCACACCTGGCGCATCCAGTCGGCCGGATGTGGCTGGCGGCAGGACTGTGGAGCAGCTCATGCGAGAGCTTGCCCAGCGGGATCGCGAAATCGCTGCACTCAAGGCAAGGCCAGGATCAAAAGGAGCTGTCAAGCCCTGCACCCCTCCATCTAGGCCTCCTCCTCTAGCATCTCTGTCGAGCGGCCCATCTATAGGGGGCCTCGATCCAGACGTGGCGCCAGAAAGCCCAGCGACGGTAGACGTAGCGGTCCGTCGAACGCGTGGGATGCCCACACCCAAGCTGCTGAAGGTGAGATTGTTTTAGTGTTAAACAATGTGTGGCATGGGGCTCAGTGATAGCTGCAGCTCTCTCTCTCAACCCCTCTTGCTGCTGGTAAGCGTGTTTGTGGCATTATGCGCAGTGATAGCGGCATGTCTGCAGTGGGATAGGCATTCCCAGTACGCCTCGCTTCAGGGACGTGGCGCTGGGCATACGATGCTCTCACATTCTGCCCCCGACCCAGAGCTCACCATAGCAGTTATCCATCCTCCATTGGCCCCTCTCTCCCATCCCTTCCCACCCTAAACCAGAGCCCCTGTTCATGGTGCTGGTGCTGGTGTGGGTGGCACGCGGCGCAAGGATAGCTCATTGTGTCAGTAATCCTTCCTATCCCTCCCCCCTCTCTCCCATCCCTCGCCTAGCTCTTCCAGAGCCCCTGTTCCTGGTGCTGGTGGTGGTGTGGGTGTCATGCGGCGGAGGGATAGCTAAGCATAGCAGTCATCCTTTATCTCACTCCCCGCTCTCTCCCATCCCTCCCCTCCCTCTGCGAGAGCCCATGTTCATGGTGCTGGGTGTGGTGTGGAATACATGTCGTGTGGCGGAGGATAGCTAAGCATAGCAGTCATCCTTCATCTCACTCCCCTCTCTCTCCCATCCCTCCCCGCCCTCTGCGAGAGCCCCTGTTCATGGTGCTGGGGGTGCTGTGGGTGTCATGCGGCGGAGGGAATAGAGGAAGCCGTATCCGTCAATCCCACGCAGCCCCCTTTCTGTCCGCCGCTCCTCCCTCCCCTCTCTATCCCGTCCCTCTCCCTCGTCGTCCAGAGCCACTGTAAAAGGTGCTGCTGGTCACGCGTGTGGCATGCGGCGTAGCGTGCAGGGGGATGGCTGCAGTGGAAGTTGAGACTCCTCGTACGAGGAGAACATGGACCCTCGCGCTGGGCGTACGGTGCCCTCTCAATGTGCCTACTCTCCCGTCTTTCGCTCTGACTATTGTATCCCCCCTCTCTCCCCTCTCACTCGTGCATCGCTCCCCTACCTCAACCAGAGCTCCTGTGCATGGTGCTGGTGGTGGGGTGGGTGTCATGTGGCGGAGTGATCGTAAAGCGCAGCAGTTATCCTTCCCATCCCTCCCCCCTCTCTCCCATCCCTCCCCTCCCTCTGCGAGAGCCCATGTTCATGGTGCTGGGGGTGGTGTGGGTGTCATGCGGCGGAGGGATAGCTAAGCATAGCAGTCATCCTTTATCTCACTCCCCGCTCTCTCCCATCCCTCCCCTCCCTCTGCGAGAGCCCATGTTCATGGTGCTGGGTGTGGTGTGGAATACATGTCGTGTGGCGGAGGATAGCTAAGCATAGCAGTCATCCTTCATCTCACTCCCCTCTCTCTCCCATCCCTCCCCGCCCTCTGCGAGAGCCCCTGTTCATGGTGCTGGGGGTGGTGTGGGTGTCATGCGGCGGAGGGAATAGAGGAAGCCGTATCAGTCAATCCCACGCAGCCCCCTTTCTGTCCGCCGCTCCTCCCTCCCCTCTCTATCCCGTCCCTCTCCCTTGTCGTCCAGAGCCACTGTAAAAGGTGCTGCTGGTCACGCGTGTGGCATGCGGCGTAGCGTGCAGGGGGGTGGCTGCAGTGGAAGTTGAGACTCCTCGTACGAGGAGAACATGGACCCTCGCGCTGGGCGAACGGTGCCCTCTCAATGTGCCTACTCTCCCGTCTTTCGCTCTGACTATTTTATCCCCCCTCTCTCCCCTCTCACTCGTGCATCGCTCCCCTACCTCAACCAGAGCTCCTGTGCATGGTGCTGGTGGTGGGGTGGGTGTCATGTGGCGGAGTGATCGTAAATCGCAGCAGTTATCCTTCCCATCCCTCCCCCCTCTCTCCCATCCCTCCCCTCCCTCTGCGAGAGCCCATGTTCATGGTGTTGGGGGTGGTGTGGGTGTCATGCGGCGGAGGGATAGCTAAGCATAGCAGTCATCCTTTATCTCACTCCCCGCTCTCTCCCATCCCTCCCCTCCCTCTGCGAGAGCCCATGTTCATGGTGCTGGGTGTGGTGTGGAATACATGTCGTGTGGCGGAGGATAGCTAAGCATAGCAGTCATCCTTCATCTCACTCCCCTCTCTCTCCCATCCCTCCCCGCCCTCTGCGAGAGCCCCTGTTCATGGTGCTGGGGGTGGTGTGGGTGTCATGCGGCGGAGGGAATAGAGGAAGCCGTATCCGTCAATCCCACGCGGCCCCCTTTCTGTCCGCCGCTCCTCCCTCCCCTCTCTATCCCGTCCCTCTCCCTCCTCGTCCAGAGCCACTGTAAAAGGTGCTGCTGATCACGCGTGTGGCATGCGGCGTAGCGTGCAGGGGGGTGGCTGCAGTGGAAGTTGAGACTCCTCGTACGAGGAGAAGATGGACCCTCGCGCTGGGCGTACGGTGCCCTCTCACTCTGCCTACTCTCCCGTCTTTCGCTCTGACTATTTTATCCCCTCTCTCTCCCCTCTCACTCGACCATCGCTCCCCTACCTCAACCAGAGCTCCTGTTCATGGTGCTGGTGGTGGGGTGGGTGTCATGCGGCGGAGTGATAGCTCACCATAGCAGCTATCCTTCCTCTCCCTGCACCCTCTCTCCCATCCCTCCCCCACCTCTTCCAGAGCCCATGTTCATGGTGCTGTTGTTGGTATGGGAGCCATGCGGCGCAGTGATGGCAACAGCCCTCTCTCTCAACCTCTGAATTCCGCCCTTCATTCGGAGGCATCACTCAATTTTACGTTTCCAATCCACCCGTCCGTCATAGGTTCATTTCGCCGTGGGGCGGGACCGGATGTGCCTAGAATGGCCAGATGATGCCATAGACTTCTACCCAACGCTCGAACAGCGCCTTCAGGTTTTGTATCAGGTTATCAGCGAGACGCACATAATTAAGCTGATGCAGCTGCGAGAGGCTATGGAAGACAAAAACATCGTCGACGGCTTCAAACGCGCTTGGACGTCATGGAAGAACGATCGTGGCTTCCACCTCAAGCGCAGAGTGCTTGTAACTTTCGGCAAGAATGTGCAAGGCCTGCGTGCAGCCGATCTCTGGATGGGCACCAAGAAGAAGAAGAAGATGTGGAGAAAATACCAACCGAGTGAGAACGCGCGTTTCTGTTTTACTTCACCATTGATTTCATCTGCTCGTGCACCCCTCGTGACGATGATGAACAACTTACCCTAATGCATCCCCACTGTGGCACGCAACTACATACCTGCTCTCCTTGCCCAGGCTTGTAGCGCATGTGCAGTCACATCCGCATGACAGCTTAACGTTGGTTCTTCTCCCACTCTCCCCTTCTCCCGCCCCCCCTTTAATCTACAGCTCTCCCCTTCCCTCCCGCCATCCCGTTCTCTCCCTCCCTCCATTTCTCTTCAGCCCTCCCCTTCTCTCCCGCCCTCCATGTCTCTCCTGCCCTCCCCCTCTCCCCTGCCCTCCCCTTCTCTCCCGCCCTTCCCTGCTCTACTGCCCTCCAGCCAACCCTCCATTCATTCTATACCGCCCTCCACTTCGTCCATACCCTTTGGACAACCCCTAACCATGTCGTGCATGATCTTCGTCCCCGCCTTGTTCTGCGTGCGCGCAGGATGGAATCAGCGGGTCAGCTCGTGGGGAAACAGCAGAGACGGGCTCCCGTTTGCCAACGGCCGGTTTGTAGATGCGGTCCGGGAAGCATTTCGGAATCTCTGTGTCGGGCGCCGGGTGTGCGTCAAAGCCTACCACATTGCCTGGTCAATCATGGTGGTAAGGCATTATTGCTCTCCCGTCAGTTCGCTCTAGCTTTGCTTGCAATTCTTGCCCGCCAGACTGGAATGTGGGGCTATTTGCGCAGCCCGTGAACTCTACTCCGTCAGTGTCCACATATGTCTCTATTTCCCCTCTTTCCCATACTTTGCTACGCTTTTTCAGATTGACCAGGGCTTGGCAAAGGTTAAGAAGACCGACTGGAACGTCTCGAACTCCCACCGCAAGAACACCGAGTGGATGACGGGTTTGCACCAAAATGTGCGGTGGATTATCAAGGACCACTTCACACGCCACACCCCCGTGTACAACACAGACGTGCAGGGCTTCAAGTGGGGCGACCGTGGCCTGTATGTTCACGAGTCAGGATTTGAGGCGTTCAAGGGGAAGGCCGTGCCTGACGAGGAGAAGAAGGACTTGAAGGAGGAAGAGCAGGAGGTGTACGACGCGGAGGACTTGAAGACGGATGACGAGGAGGATGACGAGGATCAGGAGGAGGAGGAGGAGGAGGAGGAGGAGGAGGAGGAGGAGGAGGAGGAGGAGGAGGAGGAGGAGGAGGAGGAGGAGGAGGAGGAGGAGGATGAGGAGGAGGAGGAACAGTGGGGGCAGGAGCGGAGGAAGAGCAAAAGGCACAAGAGATGCAAAAGCAGGGGAGGCAAGAGGGATGAGCAAGAGGATGAGGATGAGGAAGAGGAGGAGGAGGATGTGGAACGGGGGGGGCGGGAGCTTAGGAAGGGCAGAAGGCAGAAGAGAGGGAAAATCAAAGGAAGCAAGGGGGAAGAGGAAGAGGATGAGGAGGAGGAGGAGGGGGAGCAGGCGGATGAATATCATAGGGGGCAGGAGAGGAGGAAGGGCAGAAAGCACAAAAGAGGCGGAGGCAAGGGAAGCAGGAGGGAAGAGGTAGAGGAGGAAAAAGTGGAAGAGGAGGAAGAGGATGAGGATGAGGATGAGAAGGGGGGGGGCCAGGAGCGAAGGAGGGGCAAAAGACACAAGAGTGGCAAACGCCGGGGAGGCAAGAGGGTCAAGCGATGGGGCGACTAAACAAGGGGGGCAGCAGATGAGGCATGAGTGGAGTTTACAAGGGGGGGCAGCAGGATAGGCATCACACACTTGCGAGGAGACATCAAAACGGAGGTAGAGGCATTGGTGGAGACAGCTAGGGGGGCAGCACGCCAGGCAAGAAAGTAGAGTCAGCATGGGGAGTAGCACGGGCGGCAAAAGCGTGGAGTCAGCAAGGGGGGCAGCAGTAGAGACAATGTGAGGAGTGTCCAAGGGTGGGCAACCAGCAAGGCAACCAGATAGTGCAAGAGGGTGCAGCAGAAAGGGCATGAGTTGAGAGAGTTGGGGGGGCAGCAGAAAAGGCACGAGCAGATAGAGGGGAGAGCACAGGGGGGGCAGCAGGTTAGGCATGACTGGAGCAAGCAGCAGTAAAGGCATGACTGGGGAGCGCCAGGGGCGGAGCAGCAGACGCATGAGAGGGCAGAGCATGCAATGAAGCAGTGGACGCAGGGGCAAGGTCAACCTAGAGCACCAGAGATGGGGTTCGGTGGAAGACATAGTGTACTGGAGCATGCTAAGCAGGTCGTAGGATGATGCAGCTCAACCTAACTGACTAGGCACAGAGGGTTTAGGATGCTGTTTTATGTGCGTTTTTAGGGTGGAATTATCAGCTTTTACCAAAGCTTCTGTATTGTTTATTTGGAATGCAAGATTGAGGCAACTTAACATAGTTTTAAATTACATATAAGGTCGTGCAAGTCTCCTACATAAACTTATTTTAATGAACCCGAAACCCCATAAAGAGTACATTGCAATGAGATCCGATCTTCGAAATTGCTCTGCGGAAACTTGTACCAAACTTCTTTCGAAGGTGTTCACCTGGCAGGTTTGAACAGAAAAGCATTGGAGAAGCATTTGAAAAGCGTTCGAGAAAGCATTTGGAAAGCAACCTATACTTTCTCATAAAAGCGTTCGAAAAACGTCGTTCATGAATCATTCGACAAAACTCCCAAGCAACTTTTTTCATCGGTTTTCCGGATGCTGGATTTTTGTGATGTGCTTGAAGTCCACCACTCGACCGATCTTTATCGTATTCTCACAGCTCGGCTTGGCCTTGGCTGGTTTGCGCTCCACACACAGAGGGCGGAACGCAAGCAGGCGAGAGGAGCAGCTAACACCGGGGTTGAGCTGCTGCAGGCTTTCCTTGGTGATGCTGAGAAAGTGAGCCACAGATGAGCATGTGTCATTCTGTGGGAGGGAAAGGAAAGTGGTAGGTGGTCAAAGGGGGTGAAGGAAGAATGCTGGGAACGCTAAGGTGCAAAGAGGACCAAGTGTCACGTGGTCTTACTGCTGCTTGGGAAAAAGATGGTCAGGCGAAGAGTGGAGGGTGGAGAGAAGGAACAGCACATGTCAGCACATGGTGGCAGTGGTACCTTCCCCACTATCCATGCGTGATGCATGGGATGCTCCCCAAGCAGACTCAACTCAAAGTGTGAGACCCACCGGCTGGACGTAGTAGAAGGCAGAGCAAGCTGGCAGCAGCTCTTTCACCACGAGCTCGCGACCCTGGGGAAGGAGAGCGGAGCAGTCGATACCCTGGAGAAGAAAGGGCAGTGAGAGAGGGAGAGAGTGAGCAAAAGGTGAGGTGGAAAGATAGGGAAAGGGTGAGAGAGCAAGAGAGGGTGAAAGAGGGTGGAAGGGAGATATGGGACAGAAACAGGAACGGCGCAACGTGCTAAAAAAACGCACACATGCCTGTGGCAATGGTTTGGCGCAGCATGTGTCAGAGCTCACATGATTCATGTCAGTGAACTGCTGCAGCGTGAGGCCATACACGGTGTACACGTCCTTGCACCTCCAGTTGTTGCCTGCGACTCTGATGGATGAAACGGCCGCCCAGTTTCGATCTGCACACGTTCAACGGGAATGGTGATAATGTCACGTACGCGGGCCAACCATTGATGACAACAGCACAGCACATTAGATCCGGGAAGACACAGCTTAAACTTCTACGTGTGAAGTGCTCGCAGCATCCACTATTGTGTGAGGCGTTGGCAGCAGAGAGCGAGCTTTCCAGAGTTATATCTATGAGGGCTCAACACAGTTGTAATCATGAGGGCTTACCACAGGTGTAGCAGTGAGAGTAACCACAGTCGTAGACTTTCAAGGGGTGGTTGGGCAGACAGACGCAGGTCCAGTTCCAAGTGCCGCGGTGGATGCACGTGCCCCCCAAACATGCACTGACTCTGTCGTGGCCACACACGCCCGCTGGTGGGGGACACACACAAGAAGCAGAGGATGGAGAGCATTGGAGTCGCAAGGGGGATCCGTGGGGCAGGAAGGAAAGGGTAGAGAAGACGAGGAGCATCGCTGCTGCGAATACTGAGATGCTTTGATCAGGCAATGGTGCTTCCCAGGGGCACAAGCGATGCCAGCTCCCCAAAACAAACCCCTCGCGTGGGAACCAGATCGGGAAAGGATGACGGGATGGCGAACAACTTCAGCAACGAGGCTTACTGATAGAACTCTCTGCATGGGGATACTCAGAAGGAGCTGTGGTGTTGCTGGCAGGAGCTGTGGTGTTGCTGGCAGGAGCTGTGGTGTTGCTGGCAGGAGCTGTGGTGTTGCTGGCAGGAGCTGTGGTGTTGCTGGCAGGAGCTGTGGTGTTGCTGATAGGAGCTGTGGTGTTGCTGGCAGGAGCTGTGGTGTTGCTGGCAGGAGCTGTGGTGTTGCTCGCAGGAGCTGTGGTGTTGCTGGCAGGAGCTGTGGTGCTGCTGGCAGGAGCTGTGGTGTCGCTGGGAGCAGGGGTAGAGTATCGGGCACTCACGCAAAGCTGCAATAGAAGAACAGCACCAGTTGCAATGAAACACACAGTATCGAAGGACAGGAATCATGAGACGATACAAAGCATGTTGAAAAATGGAAATTTATTCATTTTACAAAATGTATCGACTTACAGATGAAATATGTATCGACGTACAGACAAAATGCACAACCAGTAACTCAGTCATTTGCCTTGGAACTTACAATATCAAAGCCGCGCTGGGAATCGCGGAAGGAGATCCAGGGGTTGAGCCTGCAGAGGTCCACCATGGTGGCTCCATTGGATGCCGCCACCTGCTTGAAGTCCACCACTCGGCCGATCCGTATCTCTTTCAAGCATTTCGGCTTGGCCTTGGCTGGGTCGCGCTCAACACACAGAGGGCGGAATGCAAGCAGGCGAGAGGAGCAGCTAACACCGGGGTTGAGCTGCTGCAGGCTTTCCTCGGTGATGCTGAGAAATTGAGCCACAGATGAGCATGTGTCATTCTGTGGGGGGGAAAGGAAAGTGGTAGGTGGTCAAAGGGGGTGAAGGAAGATGCAGCAACACATGGGTTGTGGAATGCTGGGAACGCTAAGGTGCAAAGAGGATCAAGTGTCACGTGGTCTTACTGCTGCTTGGGAAAAAGATGGTCAGGCGAAGAGTGAAGGGTGAAGAGAAAGAACAGCACATGTCAGCACATGGTGGCAGTGGTACCTTCCCCACTATCCATGCGTGATGCATGGGATGCTCCCCAAGCAGACTCAACTCAAAGTGTGAGACCCACCGGCTGGACGTAGTAGAAGGCAGAGCAAGCTGGCAGCAGCTCTTTCACCACGAGCTCGTGACCCTGAGGAAGGAGAGCGGAGCAGTCGATACCCTGGAGAAGAAAGGGCAGTGAGAGAGGGAGAGAGTGAGCAAAAGGTGAGGTGGAAAGATAGGGAAAGGGTGAGAGAGCAAGAGAGGGTGAAAGAGCGTGGAAGGGAGATATGGGACAGAAACAGGAACGGCGCAACGTGCTAAAAAAACGCACACATGCCTGTGGCAATGGTTTGGCGCAGCATGTGTCAGAGCTCACATGATTCATGTCAGTGAACTGCTGCAGCGTGAGGCCATACACGGTGTACACGTCCTTGCACCTCCAGTTGCTACCTGCGACTCTGATGGATGAAACGGCCACCCAGTAATCATCTGCACACGTTCAATGGGAAAGGTGATAATGCCACGTACGCAAGCCAACCATTAATCACAACAACACAGCACATTAGATCCGGGAAGACACAGCTTAAACTTCTACGTGTGAAGTGCTCGCAGCATCCACTAGTGTGTGAGGCGTTGGCAGCAGAGAGCGAGCTAGTAACTATGAGGGCTTACCACAGTTGTTTCACGACGGCTTACCACAGTTGTTTCACGAGGGCTTACCACAGTTGTTATCACGAGGGCTTACCGCAGGTGTAGCACTGAGAGTAACCACAGCCGTAGACTTTCAAGGGGTGGTTGGGCAGACAGACGCAGGTCCATTACTGGGTGTCACCGTTGATGCACGAGCCCCCCAAACACGCATTCAATCGGTCGTCGACACACCTGCCCGCTGGTGGGGGACACACACAAGAAGCAGAGGATGGAGAGCACTGGAGTCGCAAGGGGGATCCGTGGGGCAGGAAGGAAAGGGTAGAGAAGACGAGGAGCATCACTGCTGCCAGTACTGAAATTCTTTGATTGGCAATGGTGCTTCCCAGGGGCACAAGCGATGCCAGCTCCCCAAAACACCCCCCTCACGTGGGAACCAGATCGGGAAGGGATGATGGGATGGCAAACAACTTCAGCAATGAGGCTTACTGCTTGAAATCTCTGCGTCTGGGTACTCAGAAGGAGCTGTGGTGTTGCTGGCAGGAGCTGTGGTGTTGCTGGCAGGAGCTGTGGTGTTGCTGGCATCAACGGTGGTGTTGCTGGCAGGAGCTGTGGTGTTGCTGGCAGGAGCTGTGGTGTTGCTGGCAGGAGCTGTAGTGTTGCTGGCAGGAGCTGTGGTGTGGCCAGGAGGAGGTGTAGCGTATTGGGCACTCACGCAAAGCTGCAATTCAAGATGCACCAGTTACAATGGATCACACAGGAATCAAAGACAGGAATCATAAGAATCTATGAAGCATGCTGCACCCATGAGGATGAGGGGATGCTTCAATCCAAGTTAGAGAATCTATCGACTCACAGATAGAATATGTATCCACCAATAATGCACAATCAACAACTACTCAGTCATTTGCCTTCAACTTACACCGTCAATGTTGCGCAGGGAATCGCGGACGGAGATCCAGGGGTTGAGCCTGCAGAGGTCCACCATGGTGGCTCCATTGGATGCCGCCACCTGCTTGAAGTCCACCACTCGGCCGATCTGTATCTGACTCCCACATTTCGGCCTGGCTTTAGCTGGGTTGCGCTCCACACACAGAGGGCGGAACGAGGGGAGGCGAGAGGAGCAGGTAACGCTGGGGTTGAGCTGCTGCAGGCTTTCCTCGGTGATGTTGAGAAACTGAGCCACGGACGAGCATGTGTCGGCCTGTGGAAGCGGAAGGGAAGTGGAAAATGGTACGGGGGGGTGAGAAGGAAAGAGGTGGTCAAAGGGTAGCGGAACGCTAAGGTGCAAAAAGGACCGTGTGGCACATGGTGTTCCTGCTGCTGCTTGGGCGATGGTCAGGGAGAGCGTGAAGAGAGAAGTGGAGCACAGTGGCACTGGTAACATCCCCGCTATCCTAACGTGATGCATGGGATGCTCCAATAGCAGAAGCAACTTGTGAGACTCACAGGCTGGGTGTAGTAGAAGGCAGAGCAGGCTGGCAGAAGCTCTCGCACCACGAGCTCGCGACCCCGAGGAAGGAGAGCAGAGCAGTTGGTACCCTGGAGGGGAAGGGGCAGTGAGAGAGGGAGAGGATGAGGGAGAGGGAAACGGTGGAGTAGAGGGTGAGTGACATGCTTGCTAGGACTGCCGATGCCTTGCCTGTACCTTATACACACATCAATGAAGGACTGCTTGAGAGAGAGTGAAAGAGGGAGAGGTGAGAGGCGGAGGGGGTACAGAAACAATAATAAATCGAGATGGCCAATACCGGCACACAGGCTTGCAGGTCTCACCGGGTTCATGGCGGTGAACTGCTGCAGCGTGAGGCCATACACGGTGTACACGTCCTTGCACCTCCAGTCGCTGCCCACGACTGTGATGGACGAAATGGCCTCCCATTTCTCATCTGCACAGGAGAAAACACATTTCTCAAAGAGAAGCGTGAAGATGCCACGTACGTGATGCAAAGGAGAAAGCACATTCGATCTACTAAGAAACCACACACCTTGAGTTTCTATGTGTAAACAAGTGTTTGCAGTATAGACAATTGTAGGGTGTTGTGAACAGGGGGAAGGCTTACCACAGTAGCTGCCATTCCAGCGGTGGTTGGGCAGGCAGACGCAGGTCCTGCCCATGGCGCCACGATGGATGCATGTGCCCCCCAAACACGGGTTGACTCTGTCGTAGCCACACACGCCCGCTGGGGGGGGAGACACACAAGAAGCAGAGGATGGCAAGCATTGGAGTGGCAAGGAGGATACAACCGCGGGATCCGTAGGGGAGGAAAGGGCAGAGAAAGCAACGAGCATCACTGCTGCCAGTACTGGAATGCTTTGATCAGGCAATGGTGCTTCCCAGAGGCACAAGCGATGCCAACCCCAACGTAGCCCCCTCATGTGGAAGCCAGATCAGTTTTGGCAAGATGGATGGCGAACAACCGCATTGGAGCTTAACTGCTTAAACTCTCTGCGTCGGGGTACTCAGAAGGAGCTAAGGTGTTGCTAGCAGGAGCTGTGGTGTTGCCGGGAGGAGGTGTAGAGTAATGAGCACTCACGCAAAGCTGCAATAGAAGATGCACCAGTTACAATGGAACACACAAGAATCAGGGACTGGAATGATAAGAAGCTATGAAGCATGCTGAACGCCTGTAGACGAGGGGATTCTTCAAACCTAGAAACAAAATATATCGAATAACAGGTAGAAAATGTATTCACCAGTAATGCACAGCCAACAACTACACAGTCATTTTCCTTGAACTTACTCCATCAGTGTCGCGTAGGGAATTGCGGAAGGAGATCCAGGGGTTGAGCCTGCAGAGGTCCACCATGGTGGCTCCATTGGATGCCGCCACCTGCTTGAAGTCCACCACTCGGCGGATCGGTATCATATTCAGACATTTCGGCTTGGCTTTGGCTGGGTTGCGCTCCACACACAAAGAACGGAACGCGAGGGGGCGAGAGGAGCAGCTAACGCTGGGGTTGAGCTGCTGCAGGCTTTCCTCGGTGATGTTGAGAAACTGAGCCACGGACGAGCATGTGTCGGCCTGTGGAAGCGGAAGGGAAGTGGAAAATGGTACGGGGGGGTGAGAAGGAAAGAGGTGGTCAAAGGGTAGCGGAACGCTAAGGTGCAAAAAGGACCGTGTGGCACATGGTGTTCCTGCTGCTGCTTGGGCGATGGTCAGGGAGAGCGTGAAGAGAGAAGTGGAGCACAGTGGCACTGGTAACATCCCCGCTATCCTAACGTGATGCATGGGATGCTCCAATAGCAGAAGCAACTTGTGAGACTCACAGGCTGGGTGTAGTAGAAGGCAGAGCAGGCTGGCAGAAGCTCTCGCACCACGAGCTCGCGACCCCGAGGAAGGAGAGCAGAGCAGTTGGTACCCTGGAGGGGAAGGGGCAGTGAGAGAGGGAGAGGATGAGGGAGAGGGAAACGGTGGAGTAGAGGGTGAGTGACATGCTTGCTAGGACTGCCGATGCCTTGCCTGTACCTTATACACACATCAATGAAGGACTGCTTGAGAGAGAGTGAAAGAGGGAGAGGTGAGAGGCGGAGGGGGTACAGAAACAATAATAAATCGAGATGGCCAATACTGGCACACAGGCTTGCAGGTCTCACCGGGTTCATGGCGGTGAACTGCTGCAGCGTGAGGCCATACACGGTGTACACGTCCTTGCACCTCCAGTCGCTGCCCACGACTGTGATGGACGAAATGGCCTCCCATTTCTCATCTGCACAGGAGAAAACACATTTCTCAAAGAGAAGCGTGAAGATGCCACGTACGTGATGCAAAGGAGAAAGCACATTCGATCTACTAAGAAACCACACACCTTGAGTTTCTATGTGTAAACAAGTGTTTGCAGTATAGACAATTGTAGGGTGTTGTGAACAGGGGGAAGGCTTACCACAGTAGCTGCCATTCCAGCGGTGGTTGGGCAGGCAGACGCAGGTCCTGCCCATGGCGCCACGATGGATGCATGTGCCCCCCAAACACGGGTTGACTCTGTCGTAGCCACACACGCCCGCTGGGGGGGGAGACACACAAGAAGCAGAGGATGGCAAGCATTGGAGTGGCAAGGAGGATACAACCGCGGGATCCGTAGGGGAGGAAAGGGCAGAGAAAGCAACGAGCATCACTGCTGCCAGTACTGGAATGCTTTGATCAGGCAATGGTGCTTCCCAGAGGCACAAGCGATGCCAACCCCAACGTAGCCCCCTCATGTGGAAGCCAGATCAGTTTTGGCAAGATGGATGGCGAACAACCGCATTGGAGCTTAACTGCTTAAACTCTCTGCGTCGGGGTACTCAGAAGGAGCTAAGGTGTTGCTAGCAGGAGCTGTGGTGTTGCCGGGAGGAGGTGTAGAGTAATGAGCACTCACGCAAAGCTGCAATAGAAGATGCACCAGTTACAATGGAACACACAAGAATCAGGGACTGGAATGATAAGAAGCTATGAAGCATGCTGAACGCCTGTAGACGAGGGGATTCTTCAAACCTAGAAACAAAATATATCGAATAACAGGTAGAAAATGTATTCACCAGTAATGCACAGCCAACAACTACACAGTCATTTTCCTTGAACTTACTCCATCAGTGTCGCGTAGGGAATTGCGGAAGGAGATCCAGGGGTTGAGCCTGCAGAGGTCCACCATGGTGGCTCCATTGGATGCCGCCACCTGCTTGAAGTCCACCACTCGGCGGATCGGTATCATATTCAGACATTTCGGCTTGGCTTTGGCTGGGTTGCGCTCCACACACAAAGAACGGAACGCGAGGGGGCGAGAGGAGCAGCTAACGCTGGGGTTGAGCTGCTGCAGGCTTTCCTCGGTGATGTTGAGAAACTGAGCCACGGACGAGCATGTGTCGGCCTGTGGAAGCGGAAGGGAAGTGGAAAATGGTACGGGGGGGTGAGAAGGAAAGAGGTGGTCAAAGGGTAGCGGAACGCTAAGGTGCAAAAAGGACCGTGTGGCACATGGTGTTCCTGCTGCTGCTTGGGCGATGGTCAGGGAGAGCGTGAAGAGAGAAGTGGAGCACAGTGGCACTGGTAACATCCCCGCTATCCTAACGTGATGCATGGGATGCTCCAATAGCAGAAGCAACTTGTGAGACTCACAGGCTGGGTGTAGTAGAAGGCAGAGCAGGCTGGCAGAAGCTCTCGCACCACGAGCTCGCGACCCCGAGGAAGGAGAGCAGAGCAGTTGGTACCCTGGAGGGGAAGGGGCAGTGAGAGAGGGAGAGGATGAGGGAGAGGGAAACGGTGGAGTAGAGGGTGAGTGACATGCTTGCTAGGACTGCCGATGCCTTGCCTGTACCTTATACACACATCAATGAAGGACTGCTTGAGAGAGAGTGAAAGAGGGAGAGGTGAGAGGCGGAGGGGGTACAGAAACAATAATAAATCGAGATGGCCAATACTGGCACACAGGCTTGCAGGTCTCACCGGGTTCATGGCGGTGAACTGCTGCAGCGTGAGGCCATACACGGTGTACACGTCCTTGCACCTCCAGTCGCTGCCCACGACTGTGATGGACGAAATGGCCTCCCATTTCTCATCTGCACAGGAGAAAACACATTTCTCAAAGAGAAGCGTGAAGATGCCACGTACGTGATGCAAAGGAGAAAGCACATTCGATCTACTAAGAAACCACACACCTTGAGTTTCTATGTGTAAACAAGTGTTTGCAGTATAGACAATTGTAGGGTGTTGTGAACAGGGGGAAGGCTTACCACAGTAGCTGCCATTCCAGCGGTGGTTGGGCAGGCAGACGCAGGTCCTGCCCATGGCGCCACGATGGATGCATGTGCCCCCCAAACACGGGTTGACTCTGTCGTAGCCACACACGCCCGCTGGGGGGGGAGACACACAAGAAGCAGAGGATGGCAAGCATTGGAGTGGCAAGGAGGATACAACCGCGGGATCCGTAGGGGAGGAAAGGGCAGAGAAAGCAACGAGCATCACTGCTGCCAGTACTGGAATGCTTTGATCAGGCAATGGTGCTTCCCAGAGGCACAAGCGATGCCAACCCCAACGTAGCCCCCTCATGTGGAAGCCAGATCAGTTTTGGCAAGATGGATGGCGAACAACCGCATTGGAGCTTAACTGCTTAAACTCTCTGCGTCGGGGTACTCAGAAGGAGCTAAGGTGTTGCTAGCAGGAGCTGTGGTGTTGCCGGGAGGAGGTGTAGAGTAATGAGCACTCACGCAAAGCTGCAATAGAAGATGCACCAGTTACAATGGAACACACAAGAATCAGGGACTGGAATGATAAGAAGCTATGAAGCATGCTGAACGCCTGTAGACGAGGGGATTCTTCAAACCTAGAAACAAAATATATCGAATAACAGGTAGAAAATGTATTCACCAGTAATGCACAGCCAACAACTACACAGTCATTTTCCTTGAACTTACTCCATCAGTGTCGCGTAGGGAATTGCGGAAGGAGATCCAGGGGTTGAGCCTGCAGAGGTCCACCATGGTGGCTCCATTGGATGCCGCCACCTGCTTGAAGTCCACCACTCGGCGGATCGGTATCATATTCAGACATTTCGGCTTGGCTTTGGCTGGGTTGCGCTCCACACACAAAGAACGGAACGCGAGGGGGCGAGAGGAGCAGCTAACGCTGGGGTTGAGCTGCTGCAGGCTTTCCTCGGTGATGTTGAGAAACTGAGCCACGGACGAGCATGTGTCGGCCTGTGGAAGCGGAAGGGAAGTGGAAAATGGTACGGGGGGGTGAGAAGGAAAGAGGTGGTCAAAGGGTAGCGGAACGCTAAGGTGCAAAAAGGACCGTGTGGCACATGGTGTTCCTGCTGCTGCTTGGGCGATGGTCAGGGAGAGCGTGAAGAGAGAAGTGGAGCACAGTGGCACTGGTAACATCCCCGCTATCCTAACGTGATGCATGGGATGCTCCAATAGCAGAAGCAACTTGTGAGACTCACAGGCTGGGTGTAGTAGAAGGCAGAGCAGGCTGGCAGAAGCTCTCGCACCACGAGCTCGCGACCCCGAGGAAGGAGAGCAGAGCAGTTGGTACCCTGGAGGGGAAGGGGCAGTGAGAGAGGGAGAGGATGAGGGAGAGGGAAACGGTGGAGTAGAGGGTGAGTGACATGCTTGCTAGGACTGCCGATGCCTTGCCTGTACCTTATACACACATCAATGAAGGACTGCTTGAGAGAGAGTGAAAGAGGGAGAGGTGAGAGGCGGAGGGGGTACAGAAACAATAATAAATCGAGATGGCCAATACTGGCACACAGGCTTGCAGGTCTCACCGGGTTCATGGCGGTGAACTGCTGCAGCGTGAGGCCATACACGGTGTACACGTCCTTGCACCTCCAGTCGCTGCCCACGACTGTGATGGACGAAATGGCCTCCCATTTCTCATCTGCACAGGAGAAAACACATTTCTCAAAGAGAAGCGTGAAGATGCCACGTACGTGATGCAAAGGAGAAAGCACATTCGATCTACTAAGAAACCACACACCTTGAGTTTCTATGTGTAAACAAGTGTTTGCAGTATAGACAATTGTAGGGTGTTGTGAACAGGGGGAAGGCTTACCACAGTAGCTGCCATTCCAGCGGTGGTTGGGCAGGCAGACGCAGGTCCTGCCCATGGCGCCACGATGGATGCATGTGCCCCCCAAACACGGGTTGACTCTGTCGTAGCCACACACGCCCGCTGGGGGGGGAGACACACAAGAAGCAGAGGATGGCAAGCATTGGAGTGGCAAGGAGGATACAACCGCGGGATCCGTAGGGGAGGAAAGGGCAGAGAAAGCAACGAGCATCACTGCTGCCAGTACTGGAATGCTTTGATCAGGCAATGGTGCTTCCCAGAGGCACAAGCGATGCCAACCCCAACGTAGCCCCCTCATGTGGAAGCCAGATCAGTTTTGGCAAGATGGATGGCGAACAACCGCATTGGAGCTTACTGCTTAAACTCTCTGCGTCGGGGTACTCAGAAGGAGTTAAGGTGTTGCTAGCAGGAGCTGTGGTGTTGCCGGGAGGAGGTGTAGAGTAATGAGCACTCACGCAAAGCTGCAATAGAAGATGCACCAGTTACAATGGAACACACAAGAATCAGGGACTGGAATGATAAGAAGCTATGAAGCATGCTGCACGCCTGTAGACGAGGGGATTCTTCAAACCTAGAAACAGAATATATCGAATAACAGGTAGAAAATGAATTCACCAGTAATGCACAGCCAACAACTACACAGTCATTTCCTTGAACTTACTCCATCAGTGTCGCGCAGGGAATTGCGGAAGGAGATCCAGGGGTTGAGCCTGCAGAGGTCCACCATGGTGGCTCCATTGGATGCCGCCACCTGCTTGAAGTCCACCACTCGGCGGATCGGTATCATATTCAGACATTTCGGCTTGGCTTTGGCTGGGTTGCGCTCCACACACAAAGAACGGAACGCGAGGGGGCGAGAGGAGCAGCTAACGCTGGGGTTGAGCTGCTGCAGGCTTTCCTCGGTGATGTTGAGAAACTGAGCCACGGACGAGCATGTGTCGGCCTGTGGAAGCGGAAGAGAAGTGGAAAATGGTAGGGGGGGGTTGAGAAGGAAAGAGGTGGTCAAAGGGGGTGAAGGAAGATGCAGCCATACAGTGGTAGCGGAACGCTAAGGTGCAAAAAGGAATGCGTGGCACATGGTGTTCCTGCTGCTGCTTGGGCAAAAGATGGTCAGGGGGGGCGTGAAGAGGGAAGAGGAAGCACAGCACATGTCAGCACATGGTGGCACTGGTAACATCCCCGCTATCCAAACGTGATGCATGGGAAGCTCCCATAGCAGAAGCAACGTGTGAAACTTACAGGCTGGGTGTAGTAGAAGGCAGAGCAAGCTGGCAGCAGCTCTCGCACCACGAGCTCTCGACCCCGAGGAAGGAGAGCAGAGCAGTTGATACCCTGGAGGGGAAGGGGCAGAGAGAGGAGTGGGTGAGGGAGAGGGAGACAGTGGAGCAGAGGGAGAGAGAGAGAGGGTGAGAGAGGGAGAGGTGACAGGCAGAGGGGGTACAGAAACAATAACAAATTGAGATGGTCGGTTTAGGCGCAAAGGCTTGCAGGGCTCACCGGGTTCATGGCGGTGAACTGCTGCAGCATGAGGCCATACACGGTGTACACGTCCTTGCACCTCCAGTCGTTGCCCATGACTAAGATGGACGAAATGGCCTCCCATTTCTCATCTGCACACGCTCAAAGGGAAGCGTGAAGATGCCTCGTACGTGATGCATAGGAGAAAACACATCTGATCTAAGAAACCACACACCTTGATTTTCAATGTGTAAACAAGTGTTTGCAGTATAGAAAATTGTAGGGAGTTGCGAAGAGAGCGAGAGCTTACCACAGTTGATGCCATACGAGCGGTGGTTGGGCAGGCAGACGCAGGTCCTGCCCATAATGCCACGGTGGATGCATGTGCCCCCCAAACATGGGTTGACTCTGTCGTATCCACACACATCTGGGGGAAGACACACACAAGAAGCAGAGGAGGAGGGCAAGTACTCGAGTGGCAACGAGGATACAATTGGGGGATCCGTAGGAGAGAAAAGGGCAGAGAAGACGAGGAGCATCACTGCTGCCAGGACTGGAATGCTTTGATCAGGAAATGGTGCTTCCCAGGGGCACAAGCGATGCCAGCCCCAACCTAGCCCCCTCGCGTGGGAGCCAGATCGGTTTTGGCAAAGATGGATGGCGAACAACCGCATTGGGGCTTACTGCTTAAACTCTCTGCGTCGGGGTACTCAGAAGGAGCTGTGGTGTTGCTGGCAGGAGCTGTGGTGTTGCTGGCAGGAGCTGTGGTGTTGCTGGCAGGAGTTGTGGCCACACTCGCCGCCTTACCCGATGTTGCGTCTGCTGCCTGCGACGCCCGCAGTGGACTCGCTGCAAGTATGGGAGCACGTGAAACGCGATGGTGCACGGCCAGGAGGCGTGGTCAGTGTCGTCCACTGATGGCATCTTGTTTGCTGTGCGAATGTGACTTGCACCCACCTTCGTGTGAGGTGCATTGAACGTTTGAGGTGCATTGACGTGAGAGCAAAGATGGGCTCATGGGTGGAATGGAATGAGCGCGCAAGATGATGTGGCGTACCAGCGATGACGACCATGATGGCGAGCAGCGCAAGAACGGCCTTGCTCTTCCCCATGCTGCCGCTGACTCTTCGCCCTTGAGCGGCGAGTTGGAGAAGGCGCTGGTGGCTCGACTCGAGTTACAGGCTCGAGCTGCTAAGTTTGCAGGGCGTGCGAGAGGCGCCGTGGGAAGATTGCTGCTACCGTGACGCCGCTGGCGGGGAGAATGTCGTAATGCACTAGTAATGGTAGACGGTGGGAGTGGTATAGCGCACGGGCTGTGATGCTGGCGCCTACTCGTAGGAACAGGCTAGGCGTGAAGTCGGTAATGGGCATCATCGCCACGCACGCAACTAGCTTCGAAATGTAAGTGCAATGGCATTGCCTCACTCATCCTGGAGACTCCGCGCATCCGCCTGGTGTGCGGCGGCGCGTGCCCGTGACGAGCGCGAGCGTGCGCCGTGACGAGCGTGAGTGCTTTCGCCGTGGCCGACGGCTGCGGAAGTCATTCCTGGGAGAACGCGATCCTATCCAGTGCTGTGGCTTCGACTGAAATCCTAGGGTGAATTTGGTGTGGCCAATGAGGTTCGACGGCTTGAAACGTGTTCCAGGACTACACCCCATGTGACTGACGTTGACCTCCTTCCCCGCTGACGGGGTCGATCTAGAATGGTCCTTGTGACATGTATCTGACTGGCACACATGTGATTGACGGCCCTCCTCTCTGACTGACACTTGGTCAGATCTGACCGCTTCTCGCAATAGAACGCGTTTCAGGGAAATGCCCAATCCTCGTGTGACCGAGGCTCAACCTCCTCTCTGACGGACACGAAGGCACGATGCCTTTTCGAACATTGGCGATGGAACAAGCTGAAACCACCTCTTGCAGACGAATTCATTTTTGAATGTAACACCGTGTTACATTTGACGATCGCTATTCCTTCGTGCCGATTTCGCCCTCCAAACCCAACCTGCGCACTTCTCTGGTTTGCGGTACTAGCAGAACCTCGACATTGCTAGAAGCCGTTCTGCACAAACAGCTAGATCGTAGGAGCGCACCTACCATCAAGAAAGAGGTGCCTTGACTCGCCTCCACGGAACCAGTATGAACGGCGGCACAGTTCCCTCGCCCATTCGTTCTTTCGCGCGCATCGTGTCGTCCCGTCACGTTTCTCCGCCTCGTCTCAAACTCATTCTGAAACACTCTCGGAATTTGCAGGGAGTCCCTCGCGCCACGATCGGAGTCGCTAAACCTCGCCATTACGCACCACGCACTGCAGCTCGACTCACCCGCGCCGCTGTTGAGTCACTTCGAGAGCCGTACGAAAACGACAGTCTCAGAAACCGGTAAGCCTCCCACCCTTGTCGGCCATCCGCGTTGCAAGCATGAGGCTCACAGCCTACGAACCATGGTGCTCGTAATCCTGTCAGAGGGTCCATTGTGCAGCTTTTGGTCCATTGTGCAGCTTTTGGTCCATTGTGCAGCTTTTGGTCCATTGTGCAGCTTTTGGTCCATTGTGCAGCTTTTGGTCCATTGTGCAGCTTTTGGTCACATGATATGTTGGAGTGACTTTTCAGAATTCTCAAAAGCCAAATCCGTGGCGAGTTCTGCACACCGCCTAGAAACTAGCAAAGCCCCTTGACTCTTGCTTGCCCCTCGTAGCATTGGTGTCGCGGCTCCTTCCCTTGCTGTGTTCGCTCGCCCTGGTTCGTACACTCACGCTGTCACTTACCCAGGATCTGGCCGACCTAGCCTGTGACCCACCCCAGCTTGTGACCAACCTTGGTGGTGACTGACACAACTTGTGACTGATCTTGCCCGTGATTGACCTAGCTTGTCTGACCTAGCCTGTCTGACCTAGCTTGTCTGACCTAGCTTGTCTGACCTAGGCTGTCGCTGACATACCTGGTGATTGACCTATCTCATGGCTGACCTAGCTTGTGGCTGGCAGCCTAGACATGTGCACACGGATGGGTCGAGTCGAGTCAACCTCGGGTCGATCAAGAGCCAACTGTCAGGTCGAGTCGGCCCTCACTCGACCTGGTAATGTTGCTGTTCGTTCACAATAGATGAGCACATGTGGGTCCTTTGCTGGTGGCATGACATGTATTCAAGGTAAGTGCTTGGGTTGCGACAACCTACTTGACTAGTGACGAGCTATCTGCATCTCGTCGAGTCACCAACTTGGTGAGACATTGCTGACTCAGTTCCATTCAGGCAATGCAATACTCGTTTCGGTTCAAGTAGAATATTGGACTGACTCCACTCGACACAATTGAATTGGGAAAACGTGACTCGCTGGTCGAATCTAACCCGGCTGGCCTGTGGTTGACCTTGCATGTATGTGACCGACCCAGGTTGTTGTGAGTGACCCAGCCTATGAGTACTAATCTACCTTGTGCCTGACTGGCCTAGTTCGTAATTGACCTAACCTGTGCTATGCTATGAGCCGTCTAGCTTATGACTGACTGGCTGGCCTCACTTGTGTCAGACCTAGCTTGTGCTTGACCTATCGTGGGACCGACATATGCCATGAAAGGCCTAGGCTGTGACTGTCCCTGTCTCTGTGGACTGACTAAATTTCTGACCGATTACTTGTGTCTGCCACCTTGTGAGTGAGTGACCTAGCTTGTGTCTGACCTAGTCTGTAAGTGACCAAACCTCTATGTAGCGTTGCTTGTGATGGTCTCAGCCGGTGATTGATCTACCTTAGGACTGTCGTAGCCTTCAACTGACCTATTGCGTGTTTGACCTAGCTCGCGGGAGAGCTCGCCTACAATCGACTGAAGTAGCCAGTGAGTGACATAGCCAAAGAGTGATCCAGTCCAGCCAGCCAATGAGTGACATAACCAATGAGTAACTTATCCAGTGAGTAGCCTAGCCTAGAACTGATTCAATTCTTCACTGGCTTAGACTATACTGCACTAACACGTGATGTGCCTAGCTGGTGACCAATCTAGGTTCTGAGCTACTTAGGTTGTTCTCACCTAGCTCGCTGGTGACCTAGCCTGTATTGGATCGAGCTGGTGAGTGAACCGCGGGCCACCCGTCTCGACCTCTTCCCGGGTGTGACTCACCGGGTCAAGGGATCTGGCATGTACCGCGCTCCTTGCGAACCTCAGCCAACGGAGGGGAGCTATGAAACGAGAGGTGTTAAATGCATCGTCTCTGGCTGAGAAATCTCAAAGGGAGCTATGAAAAAGAGAGGTGTTGAATGCATCGAACCTGACTTGGAAACTGTGTAGTAGAAAACTACCAGCGCGACCTGCGGCGCACTGCTTTCCGATCAGCCCCGTCGTCTCAGGCTGACCATCTCGCTGAGAGCTGAGAAGAATTTAAAGCCACCCTGCAAGTCGATTTCAGGCATCTTCCATCGGCTCAAAGAGCACCTTAAGCAGCCAAGCCACCGCCCAGCGCTTTGCTCACTCATTCATAATATTGCGTTTACTTCCAGTTTTTTTCTCCCTTGCCCTGTACTCTCAGCGCAAATTCTCTCCTTGTGTGCTCGCTTCGGCTTCCCTCACTCACCCACTTGACTGAGGTAAGGAGCAGAGTGAGAACTCTCTCTTACATTGTACGTTGGTCACGTCACTCTTGCTGCTCTGCTCGTCCACCTCACTTTATGTGGCTGACACTACGCCCTATGTGCACCAGCCCTCTGTGCACCAGCCCTCTGTGCACCAGTCAGCCCTCTGTGTGCCTCTCCAATGTGAACCGTCCTATGCAGTCTCTGCAGCTCCCCACCCTTCACCCACTGCATTCATTTCCGCCTTGCTGCAATCTTTGCGGTGCTCCCTTTTCACAGTCCCTGCTGGCATCTCTTTCTCGTCCTAACATCTTATCTTCACTTTCACCTCTTGGCCTCCCCTGGTTTTTGCCGAACGCATGAGTATGGACATGCTTTCCCTCTCACTGCTCCATCCAGACATGCGCTTGCTGCTTCTTCTGTTCGCCTGTTCTCATCTCACGCAATTCTTCCCTCACATCTTCTCCTTAAGTCTCCCCCCTCTGCTCCTCTCGTACTCACATCACTGCCTCATCCATCACGCCCACGCGATTAGTCTAATTTGCGCGTGCATGCACCGTGCGCCTTCTCCCTCTTTTCTTCTTACGCTTCTGTTTTCTCTCATGATATGCCCAACCCTGCCCTACCTAGTCTGCGTGCGTCTTCTTTCGCCAGTCCGCAGTGAAAATAACAGTTGAACGCAGGGGGATCAGCAAATCAAAGAGGGTCGTTTGAGGGAGTGTGTGGATGCTATGGCTGCTGAGGGAGTGACGAGTGCAGTAAATGAGTCAATCAAAGAGGCGGTGCTGGCAGCAGTGAGAGAGGAGCTGGCTGCACACAAGGAGGAGGTGGATGAGCTGCGGCACATGTTGACAGCAGTGAAGGGGGAGTTGGCTGCGGTGAAGGGGGAGTTTACAGCGATTAAGGGGGAGTTAATAGTGGTTAAAGGGGAATTGGCAGTGGTGAAGGGGGAGTTGGCGAAACACGAGCACGCTACGGCAGAGAAAGTGGCTGAGAGTAGTAGGTCATTGGATGGAACAGGGCTGAAAGGGAAGAGCAGAAAGAGAAAGCAAGAAATCACAGCGGATGTTGCACGGGAGGAGGAAAGGAGGAGGGAGGTGCAGGAGTTGAATCAACTGCATGCCACGGAGGACCTGGCGGCCTCCAAGGAAGGGCCAAAGAAACGAAACTTGAAACTCAATGTTGCGCTGCAAATCAAGCAGAGTAAAGGCGATCAGAAGATGGCATGGAAGGTGTGTGTTGAGTGGGCCATCCATGCCCCCTCCACCCATGCCCTCTCGACCCATGCCCTCTCGACCCATGCCCTCTCGGCCCATGCCCTCTCGGCCCTCTCGACCCATGCCCTCTCGACCCATGCCCTCTCGACCCATGCCCTCTCGACCCATGCCCTCTCCATCCATGACCTCTCCATCCATGCCCTCTCCATCCATGACCTCTCCATCCATGCCCTCTCCATCCATGACCTCTCCATCCATGCCCTCTCCATCCATGACCTCTCCATCCATGCCCTCTCCATCCATGACCTCTCCATCCATGCCCTCTTTACCCATTCTCTCTTCATCCATGCCCTCTTCATCCATCATCTCCAGCAAATCAAGTCTGCATCACGACGAGCGGAACTGAGTCTGGAGAGTTGCGACGGCGTCTCGGATGCCATGCTCGGGCATGTGTCCACCATGACACGTCTCAAGGGCATTGACTTGGAATCTAGCTCAGGCTTCAGTGCAGAGGGCATCAAGCACCTCTACAGGCTGCCACAGCTGGAGACGCTAAACCTCATGAGTACTCATGTCCCTGACAATGCTTTCGAAGGCATTGGGTCCTTGACCAGTCTGAAGGAGCTCCATCTCTTTGAGACCAAGGTGACTGATGCTGGTCTGGCGCAGTTGACTTGCCTCTCCTCTCTGAAAGTGCTGTGCCTTGCTGGGTGCTGTAGGGAGGCTAATAGGGCTTGCGTATCTTTGGTTAAATGGCACGTCAGTCACGGATGATGGGCTGCAGCAGCTGACTGCCCTCACCAAGTTGAGAATTCTCAAGACTGGAGACGGGGACTTCCTTGAGAATGATGCTGTGCGCAGGCGGATAGGCGGGTAGGGTGGCAGGGAGTGATGATGGAAAGGGAGGTGAGGTGAGGGAGGAGTTGACTGAGACTGTCTAGGGGAGACTGAGGAGAGGCGTGGAGGGCAGGGGTGCTAGATTGAGGGGAGGCATGCATGCGGAGGAGTGAGGCATGGAGTGGTGGTTGTGCACGGCTCAACTTGCATGCCACAGAGAGCTGGAGAATGGGAGTGTGAGCTCGTGCCTTGCAGGTGGAGAGCAGCAGGTGCAGGGCTGGTTGGGCTAGAGACCACTGTGTGCATGAGGGGAGCTACATAGGAAATGTCTGCCTGGCATCGCTTATGTTGAAGGGGGAGCGGTCATCAGCAGGGGGAGCGGTCATCAGCAGGGGGAAGTGGTCGTCAGCAGAGCGGGCGGCAAGGTGCAAAAAAAACGACCGAAAGATTGAAATTCTGGCGTATAATACGCTATCGTATTTTTCGGTCGTTTAAAACGTTTTAAAACGCCAAAAAGTGGTAATTTTAATGTGGTGCAAAAAAACGGCCGTTTTTTACAGCAGAATCTTGAAACCAGCTGGTTTACACATATTTTGAAGTATTGGTTCCAACCATGACCCTCGATCGGATGAGCCAGCCATGAGGAAGACAAAGGGTAGTAGAACGGTGACTCCAGGGAGGAGAGGATGAAGAGTCTGGGGGGGAGGAGGAGGAGGGTTGAACGAGCGCAAGCTAGACACAACGGACCGTATTTTACTTTTGCCGAAATTTTGCACCTTGGCGGGTGGGGAAGGGGAGGGGGAGTTGAGGCGGAGCAAGAGGGGGAGGGGAGAGGAGGCGGGGAATTTGGGTTCAAGGGCGAGCAAGAGAGCAGTGAGGAAGAATGGAGTGGCATCAGCAGTGGCAGCAGCAGCGGCAGCAGTGGCAAGAGCAGTGGCAGCAGCGGCAGCAGTGGGCGGGGGTTGAGATCAGGAGTGTGTTGTGCTTCGCTTGGCTGTATGAGGGGAGCTGCAGAATAAATGTCAGGCCGTTTGGGTGATGTACAAGTATCTTCAAGAGGAGAGAGTGTACATTAGCTGATAGGCAAGGAGTGGAAGTGTGTGCAAGTAGGTGGCTGGACAAGGCCTTGCTTGTAAACAGCCTAGGGTAGGACAGTAATTTGTGAACTTGCTTGCGCCCTGTCCTGAACTGAGACTGAACTACTGCTTTTGCTGGCTGACTTTGGATGCAAGCTTGTGTATGCCGTACTTGGTTCTGGTGTGAAATATATAGTGCCGCAGGCACATGGCAGCAGACCCGCAGGTACATAGCAGCACACCCGCAGGCACATGGCAGCACACATGCCATGCGTGCAGGTGGCTTCTCATATGATTGCAGGCAGGGCGAAGTGCCGACGCAGAGGTGAGTGATGCTTACTATGCAGAGAAATCTTAACATTTCAATCAACCTCTCTCTCTTCCTCCATCCATTGATGTTGCTGCCATGCCTCCCTATTTTTGCTCCCCCGCCCCCTCCCCACTCAATGTGGTGCTTGTGGCTCTAGTTTGCCTTGATGGAATAATTATTGTTGGCACCGCTTTCCCCCAAGTGCAATGCCAACATCAGCTATCTTCCACTCCCACTCCTCGCTCATCAGTCTGCATCTACCTCCTTCACACTGTCAAGAATAATATATATTTCTATATATTGTTTTGTAACTGCCTGTAGTGTAGATCACTGTAGTTATATAACGTTCTGTTTTGGTGGTGCACCTTTCTTCTTGCCTATTTGTACTGCCTGCTCTATACTGAAACCTCTCTTTTGTTTCAACTCACTCGACTTCTCTCTAACTCAAACTACTCGAACTCAACCAAGGCTCCTAAGCCATGGCTCCCAAGCCAACTTCTTCCTAGTTACTTTGACATGGTATCAAGGCGGTCTCGGGTTCGAATCTCGGTGTATGCACATGTTCGAATCTCTCCCCCTCACTTCCTTCCCCTTTCCACACCAACAGCACCAACAGCGTCTGTGGGATGGAGGAGAGGAGGCGGCGGGGGCGGCTGGGTCTAGCTGCTGGTATGTGCGGTGGGCAGAGGAGGGCAATGTGGTGGAGCGGATGGTTATCACCATGAGGATGCTCCACAGGCTGGGTGTCATCAGCGACGTGGTGGTAGAGATGTCATGCAGCAGAACGAGCATCCAAGGATATAGAGTAGTGGGTGTGGCTTGTGCTTTACAGTCACTTCGAAAGTGTTCGAATCTGCTTGGGGTGGAGGCAGTGCGGGAGGCAAGGAGTATGGCCTCGTGTGATGGTGAGTTTACCTACGCCTCGTGGGGAGTGAACTCATGCGTTTTGACAGCTTCCATGGTGTTTCACATTGGTGCGGCGGAGACATGTGATGTGACTATACCTCAAGAGATGCATGGTCCGTGTTTTCTTGCCATGTGATGCCTCCGTCCTTTGCGGCTTCACCCTTCCAGGCCCTCTTCTCACCCAGTGGTATACCCCTCTTCTTTTCATCCCCCCCCCAGCAGTCCCCACGCACACCAGCAGCATCTGCCTTGTATCGGTCATAAAGCCCACTCGTGGCTGCGACATGGAGGCGGCTGTTGTGCTGCAGCAGCATCAGTGGTGGTGGTGAAGGCGGTCAGCAACGAGTGTGGTGGAGGCAGGCGAGGAGTGAGCCCGACTCATCTCCATGACACACAGCGGGGTGGCATGGCGGAGCCATAGGATGCTGCAGCAGCAGCGGTGGCGGTGAAGTGAAGTCGGTCACCTGCCTGCCTGTACTCGCGTGAGCAGCCCATCTCATCTCTGCTGCACACCAGCCGGGCTGCATGGCAGGGCCATGGGATGCAGCAGCAGTGGTGGCGGTGAAGTGAAGCTGGTGAGCCACGAGTATGGTGGAGGCGGACCCATGGGAGGCTGACCCATGGGAGGCTGACCCATGGGAGGCGGACCCATGGGAGGCGGACCCATGGGAGGCTGACCCATGGGAGGCTGACCCATGGGAGGCGGACCCATGGGAGGCTGACCCATGGGAGGCTGACCCATGGGAGGCTGACCCATGGGAGGTGGACCCATGGGAGGCGGACCCATGGGAGGCGGACCCATGGGAGGCGGACCCATGGGAGGCGGACCCATGGGAGGCGGACCCATGGGAGGCGGACCCATGGGAGGCTGACCCATGGGAGGCGGACCCATGGGAGGCGGACCCATGGGAGGCGGACCCATGGGAGGCGGACCCATGGGAGGCTGACCCATGGGAGGCTGACCCATGGGAGGCTGACCCATGGGAGGCGGACCCATGGGAGGCGGACCCATGGGAGGCGGACCCATGGGAGGCGGACCCATGGGAGGCGGACCCATGGGAGGCGGACCCATGGGAGGCTGACCCATGGGAGGCTGACCCATGGGAGGCTGACCCATGGGAGGCGGACCCATGGGAGGCGGACCCATGGGAGGCGGACCCATGGGAGGCTGACCCATGGGAGGCGGACCCATGGGAGGCGGACCCATGGGAGGCGGACCCATGGGAGGCGGACCCATGGGAGGCGGACCCATGGGAGGCGGACCCATGGGAGGCTGACCCATGGGAGGCTGACCCATGGGAGGCGGACCCATGGGAGGCGGACCCATGGGAGGCGGACCCATGGGAGGCTAAGGCTGCTATTGATCATGCTTGAGGATGTCATCCCAGTCTCACCGTACATCTCGTATCCCTTCTACCACTCTCTCCCTGCCACATCCCCGTTTCTTCTTCATCTAAGCATTCCCCCTTTCAAGGTCTCCATTCACCCCATCTCAACCATCACACCCGTCACTTCGGCCCATCGCACTTGCTTTCATTTCAACTGTCTTTCCCTTCATGCCATTCACTCAGCAAATACACCAGCGGTTCATCCCCACCTCAGTTCCTCCTCCTCTGCCCACTACCCCCTCCTATCTTCTGCCCCACCAACCCACCCAAGCAGCAGCATCATAGCCATTTCTTCAGACCCTCCTCACTCCCACATAAGCTACACCACAAAAAATTTGCTCTCCCTCAATCCCATACCTCGTTGCACACCTCATTGCATATCACACATCCCACTGCACTGTTATTTCTGGATCACGTCCGCTTCCCGGCCTCTTCCCTCCTGTGTTCCCCTCACTAATTCCATGAGCAGTAGAATACTATTGAACGAGCACAAAGGATACAGATGGGTGCCACGCAGCAGTAGCAGATGAGTCACGGGACTGGGCAGCCAACCATGGGGGGCACATTGCGTGGGTGGACTGTGGCTGCAGTAAGGAGGCAGCTCATGTTTTTTACGGCTGGAATTCAGCTGTTTTGAGTATATCAGCCATTTATCCCGAAGCAGACTAATGCACTGCAACAGGTGGTGGTGGCACACAGGAGGGTGAGATGTCTGAAATGCAATTACAAGAACCAGGCTCACTTGATAAGAGATTGATAATCTCCCACATGCTTCCTGTGTGCCAGTGAAAGGGCGATGTACGCTGAAATGCACCAGCATGTGGGACTTGACTCTTCCTCATGCAGGCACAGGTCCAGTTTTGCTTCACCTTTGCCCTCCATTACTCTGTCCCGCGGATCATACCCTGCCAGGCTGCCACCGAGTTTCACCAACAATATGTTATCTATGAGCTCCCGAACATGCATGCATCATTATATGCTGATACGAATCAATTATTCGTCCCCTCATGGTTGCCAGAGACTGGAACTTTTTTTTGTATGGCACAACATTGATGAAAAAGCTTGAAGCAGTCTAAACTTGAAGACACTCTCTCAAGTGGGGCAAATTCTACCTTGCCCACAAAGTTAGCCATGTGTGTGAGCGATGCGATGCGATCATGCGACCACCAGCCTATGTCGGCTTGGCACAAGTTCACATGTACCGCACTTCCTACATGTGTACAGACCAAGCCTCGTCCGGCCACCGAGTTGCACACACATCCACTCATTGTCTACAAGCAATCCCCTCAGTACAATCACATAATCTCCCATTCCCTCATCATCACTCTCTCACACCCAGCTCCCAATCTCATTACACACCCAATCCCCTTAAGGCAGCAGCAGGGACCCCCATCCTAACAGCCAGGCATCTCTTATGCAGCCCCCCTCATGCAGCCATGTGAGACATTACTCACCCCCCTGATCCCAACCCCCCCCAGCCGCTGCTGCTGTCACTGCAGCCTTCGCTGCCATTGCTGCTGCTACTGCCACTACTGCCGCCACCCCTGCTTCCACTGTTGCCACCACTGTTGCCGTCACTGCTACTGCCAGTGCTGTAGCCACTGCTGCCGCCACTGCTACAGCCATTGATGCAACCACTGATGGTGCCACTGCTGCCATCACTGCTGCTGCCGCTGCTGCCACCACTGCTGCTGCCACTGCTGCTGCAACCTCACTGCACTCTTGCTCGCCCTTGTCCCTAGCTTCCCTCCTCCCCTCTCCCCTCCTGCTCCGTCTCACCTCCTCGGCCTCCCCCCACCTTCCCCTCCTACTCTGCCTCGCCTTCTCCCTCCCCTCCCCATGAGCCCTGCTCCTGACCGTTTTCCCCTCCATCATAAGAATGCCAGGCAGGAAACTCCTATGCAGCTCCCCTCACGCACACCCTGCAGTCTTGCCCAACCAGCCCTGCACCTGCTTCTGACCAACCGCAAGGCACGAGTTCACATGACCATTCTCCAACTCTCTGCACAACCACCATTCCATGCCTCACTCCTCCGCATGCATGCCTTCCATCATTCTTCACACCCCTTGCCTCCACGTCGCTCCTCAGTCTCCCCTAGACAGTCGCAGTTAACTCGCCTTCACCTTCCTTCCATCATCACTTACTACCCTACCCGCCTATCCGCCTCCAAATATTCTCGTTCGTCATATAAGCCCCTTTCGGCGTCCAGAGAGTTGTCAGCTTGGTCAGGGCAGTGAGCCGCTGCAGCCCATCATCCGTAACTGCCGTACCACCCAGGCCAAGCTCCGCAAGTCCTGTCAGCCTCCCCACATGCACCATGCCGGCATTCGTCACACCTCTGCAAGAAGTCAACCACAGCTCTTTGAGAGAGGACAGAGCTGTCAAGTGCGCCAGGCCAGCATCGGTCACCTTGGTCTGATTGAGAAAAAGCTTCCTGAGACGGGTCAACGACCCAATCCCCTCCAAGGCACCATCTGAGACGTCGGTGCATTCGAGGTCCAGCTTCCCCAGCCGTGGCAGCCTGTAGAGATGCTTGATGCCCTCTGCACTGAAGCCTGAGCTAGAGTGCAGGTCAATGCTCGTCAGATGGGTCATTGTGGACACATGCCCAATAATGATATCCGAGAGGCTTTGAAAATTCGCCAGAGTCAGTTCGGCATCTCGTGATGCTGACTTGATATTCTGGAGGAGATGGATGAAGAGGGAATGAATGAATGACAAGCAGAGGAATGGCCATCTGAGAGGCCGTGGAAACACTCGAGGTTCAGATTGGGTTTCTGTGACACTGACTGGATTGCATGGAAAAGGAGGATGAAGAGGGAAAGCATGGCAAGGAAATGGATTACCAAGTAGCAAGCAATGCATGCATGGACTGTGGAACAGTTCACTCAACACTCACTCACCTGCCATGCCATCTTCTGTTCACCTTCACTCTGCGTGATTTGCACCGCAACATTCTGTTTCAGGTTTCGTATTAATTGCCCGTCCTTAGAGGCCGCCAGTTTCTCCACCTCCTGTACCTCCCTCCTCCTTTCCTCTTCCTCCCGTGCAAAATCCGCTGTGGTTTCTTGCTTTCTCTTTCTACTCTTCTCTCTAAGGCCTCTCGCATCCGATGCCCCACTGCACTCAGCCAATCTCTCTGCCATAGCGTCCTCGTGTTCGGCCAACCCCCCCTTCACCACTTCCAATTCCCCCTTCACCACTACCAATTCCCCTTTAACCGCTGCCAACTCCCTATTCACTGTTGTCAGCATGTTCCGCAGCTCATCCACCTCCTCCTTGTGTGCAGCCAGCTCCTCTCTCACTGCTGCCAGCACCGCCTCTTTAATCAACTCGTTCAGTCCACTCGCCACTCTCTCAGCGGCCATAGCATCCACTCACTCCCCTCAAACAGCCCTTGTTCAAAGACTGACTGATCCTTGTGTTGGACTGTCTTCAAAGGGGACTTGCAAAAGCAGGCAAGCCTGGGTAGGGCTGGATTTAGTGTCGTCAGAGAAACCAGAATGAAAAGCAAAAGAGGGAGAAGGGGCATGGTCAGTGCACACACGACGAATCAAACCAATCACATGGGCGTGAGGGATGAGGCAGTGATGTGATGTAAGAGAGCAGATAAGGAGCAGCAGAAGAGTGAGACTTGACAGTCACACAGAGGGCTGGTGCACATGTGGAGTAGTGTCAGCCACATGAAGTGAGCTGAACGAGCAGTGCAGCAAGAGTGTCCTATGTATGATGTTGGTAAGAGAAGTTTATGGAGGCACAATTGTCCAGCAGGAAAAAGGGAGAGGGGAGCGAGGAAAGACTAAAAAGGTGAACACAGGCAGATTTTCTAACTGCTTCTAATCTAAGATAGAGATAAAAACAAGGAATCCAATGTGTGAATAGGCAACAGGCACTTGCATCAATACAGGTGTGGGTGGGGAGGGCCGCAAAAAGTGGAGGTAGAACTAACGGCACTTGGCCAAAGCAGATTCCGAGAGGCTAGAGAGAAGGAGCACGATAGGATGCTGCATGAGGATGCGGGGCAGCAATGACCACATGGCCAAGAATTCAACTCAGTCTGGCATGAAACCTGGCAGCTCTTCTCCTTACCAGTCAGGCAGGTGGGGAAAGCTGGAGCGAGCACACAGCAAAGGAATCTGAAAGTAGAGGGCAAGGGAGGACAAACATGGTAGTGAATACCATAGTACCAATGAGCAAATAACCGAGCGGTGGCTTGGCCGTTTGAGGTGCTCTTTGAACCGAGATGGACCTATTCCAAAGACGACTCGCAACGCGGCTGATTTTTAGAAAGAGCTGGTCGGCTTGAGGCGATGAGGTTATGAGCTGATCGGAAAGCAGTGTGACTCAGGTATTGTTAGTCTACAATTACACACTTTCCAAGCTCCAAGCTCATGCTATTTAGACCTCCTTTCTCAAGCTCCCCATTAGCTGAGGTTGGCAGGGAGCATGAGATAAGTTAAATCCCTGAGCTGGCAGATTATACCTGGGGGAGGCCTAGACAGGGTGGCTCGCTAGTCACAAGGTAGTTAGTGAGTCTAGCAGCTTGTCAAGAGCCTCTTCAGATCGGGCATTAGGTCAAGCCTCATCTCTCGGACACACACACACTTTGGATCGCAGCGAGCCAGGCTCGGCTCAGCCATGACACAATGCAAGCTGAAGCGAGTAGCAGTGGGCCTGGCAGCTTGCTGAGAGCCTACTCGGCTTGGGCCATAACATTTGAGGCACATATTGGACACGCACACACTTTGGCTCGCAGGGAGAGTGAGGCTCGGCTCGGCCATTTCTCGCGCACGAGCCGCCAAAGTCAACCCAGGCCCGCCGTTACACAAAGTGACCTGATGCGGGTAACAGCGAGGCTGGCTTGACTCAGCCAATGCTCACGCATAGAACACACCACAGTGTTATGGATTGAGAGACTCGAAGTGGTTGGGAGGGGTCATTGGTGGTAAGGAGGGTGGCTGGAATTGTAGTGCGTTGACCTGAAG